CTGGAAACAGTATGGAAGAAATCTTTGCTGTAAAAACTTTTTTGCACAATAAGTTCACTATAAAGGATCTTGGAGAATTGAAATACATATTAGGCATAGAAATTGCTAGATCTGACAAAGGTATAAACCTATGTCAAAGGAAATATACTCTAGATATCTTAAAAGATTATGGTTATCTAAACTGTAAACCTTCAAATACTCCTATGGATTCAAAAATTAAAATTTCAAAGGATAATGGTACTGTCCTTGATGACCCTAAAACATATAGAACCTTAATTGGCAAACTTCTTTATTTAACTGTTACCAGACCTGACATTGCTTACAGTGTACAAGTTTTAAGTCAGTTTCTTGCTTATCCTACTGACATTCACATGAATGCAGCTCATAGGATTCTTAGATATCTCAAGAACTCCCCAGGTAAAGGACTTTTCTATTCTTCTGATTCAGATTTTTCTATTCAAGGATATACTGATTCAGATTGGGCTGCTTGTGTTGATACTAGAAGAAGTGTTTCTGGTTATGCTTTTTATATTGGTAGTTCTTTAGTGTCTTGGAAATCTAAGAAACAACAGGTAGTTAGTAGATCTTCTATTGAGGCTGAATACAGAGCTTGTGCAAATGCTGTTTGTGAAGCTCAGTGGATTTATTACATTCTTAATGATCTACATATTCAGTTCACTTTACCTATCATTTTATATACTGATAATAAATCAACTTATCATCTTGCTCATAATCCTATTCAACATCAAAGAACTAAACATATTGAATTAGATTGTCATTTAATTAGAGATAAAATAGTTTCTGGATTAATAAATTTGATTCATATTAAAAATAACTTTCAACTTGCAGATATATATACAAAACCTCTTGGGAATCCATTATTTCATCAGTTTGCAGTCAAGATGAACATGCTGGATATACATGCTCCTCTTGAGGGGGCGTATCAAGAATAAAGCTTATTGTCATTTAATTAGAGATAAAATAGTTTCTGGATTAATAAATTTGATTCATATTAAAAATAACTTTCAACTTGCAGATATATATACAAAACCTCTTGGAAATCCATTATTTCATCAGTTTGCAGTCAAGATGAACATGCTGGATATACATGCTCCTCTTGAGGGGGCGTATCAAGAATAAAGCTTATTGGATCAAACTGCTGGACTTAATGGACCTGTTTACATTTTTATTTTGTCATTGGGCCTTCTATCATTTAGCCCATTCGTAGTAGACTATTAGTTATTATAGTATATATACCTCATGTAATATTTCATTCAGTAAGTTTTCAATTCAAAACCCTAAGACCTGCTTTCTTCTTCCGCAAATAGCTCTCAAAGCAATCGTTCTTCATCTTCTTCTTTGAATTCTGTATGAAATCCTCAACAATTCATGTTGACCGGAGAATAGTGGACGAGAACCTTTAAATGGGACGGAGGGAGTACTTCTTAACCATTTGGTGAGTCCAGCTTATTTTTTAGTCCAAATGTTTGGAGAGGGCATTTTTTGTGACTATATGGGAGTTAGCAAGGAGGAAAACTTGGGGCAGTATTTGGGGCTTCTGTCATTGGTATATGCTACAGTAAAAATAGCATTTTGGGATATTTAAAGGAAATAATTGTTACTAGAATTAAGAGCTCGAATAAAACGTTTTTATCTAGAGCTGGAAGGGCAGTGTTGCTAAAAAAAGTTATTCAGGCAATGCCTAGTTGTGGCATGAATGTTTTTTTGTTACCGAAAAAATTTAGTGGTGACATTGAAAAACTTATGAACGATTATTGGTGCAAAGGTAATTTTTTTTTTTTTTTTGAGAAAATAGGTATTCGGTGGAAGGCGTGGGATGGCCTATGCAAAACTAAATGACACTGAGGTCTGCGTTTCCGGAAAATTGGAGAATATATGTAATATCACTATGCTAGCTAAGCATGCCTATAGATTAGCGATTGATACGAAAAAATCTAGTGGGATGAAATTTTGAGGGTCGTTAATATCCAAACAGGTCCTTTTTGGGTGCTAAAAATGGACACGAACCCTTCATTATATGGAAGAGCATTATGGAGGCACAACAAGTTGTTTCTCAGAATATCCGTAATAGAGTTGGTAATTGGGTCGCAGTACAAGTCTTGGCAGATGCTTGGTTACTAGGGATAGATTCGGGAAAGGTACAATCTGTTGGAAAATGTGTTAATAAATTGCATTAAATGGTCATTTTGGGGCATTTTTTTGAGTGGAGTCCATTTCCTATTTGGGTCGGGTCAAAGTGGTTTCGGATTGTCCTTGCTAAGGGCTACAATTCGATATGTGGTACACTCAAAACGGATAACGGGTGAATGAGAAATTGATTCTCGAAGTTCACTCGTTGAAACGGAGAAAACTAGGAAAATTATGGGTTTCTAGTGTGTTTTATCCCACACCGGAAAATCCAAGGGATTTTCAGCCCCTTATAAAGAGAACCCCATTTGAAGGAGTTATGAATCTTAGGTGGAAATACTCTCTTCACGCGCAGGGGATGCAGATCAAATCCCGAAAACGGAGAAGAAAAACCGCGACTCGTGGTTTGCAACAATACGTTCACAAACGCATTCTTTAGCTCTCAAAAAACACATCTAGCATAAACGTTGAGAGATAAACGTTGATGGGACCAGGTCGTGGATGGGACCAGGTCGTGGGGTTGGATAGCTAGAGATGCGGAATGAGAGTTTATCTATGGAAGGAGTGAGTCCAAAGATGCTCAGCAGACGGCAACTCAAACAAAAGCATTACTGGGCGCAATTCAAAAAGGATGGCAGCAAGCTGAGATCGTGTCAGATGCATTCACGATGCCTAATCCAGTGCATTAAAAAAAAGGAGGTGTATTCTTGGCCCAGCCCCACCCTTCAGCCAATAAATAAGAGAAAATAAAAAAAAAAAAAGTCAAATTGGGCCCGGACTGGCGGGGCCAGTTCACATTTTGCAAAGCCCGTAGCCCATCCCTCTTCCACCCAGTTTGGCCCCCTAGTCACATTCCCGGTACCGCCTGGCCGGGTCGGGTCGAGCCTTCACAGTATCAGTCGGGCCGGGTCCCGGGTCGGGCCGACTCATCCCTGTCCATCCATATTTCCAACACATTATATTCGCAAAGGAAAGCTGTCAAATAGATCCTCTTAGTATGTCGAAAAAGTCAATTAAACCGTCCAACCTAAATAACACTCAATTAAACCCATGAACTTCAAAAAAATGTACAATTATGTAATTTGACCCGTAGATGTCCGGTTAGCTGGTAAAACCTATGTGGATTTTCCCATTTTTTCTTTGATCTTTTCCATCTACCTCCTCTTTCTTTCGGCGAACACATTAGAATTTTCTTTCTCCCAACCGTTCTTTTTCCACCACACCAACATAAATGACACATCAAATGATCAAACTAGCCATTTTCCCTTTCTTTTTTGGTCGTTCACTTTTCCCTTTTCTTCCCCATCTGCTTTCTTCTTCACAAACGAACTCAATCGTCTCTTCCTGCAGTCTCGCCCAATAGATTTCTTGTTGCAGACGACAGAAGACGCCATCATCTCATCATTCCCTACGTACTCCTACAATCGTCTTCTCTATTTGGATCCACTCAACTTTTAATCCTGAAAACCGAGATGAACTCACATGGCCACCTGGGACAAGGTAAGTAGATAACTCCATCAATGGAGGTCCAGATACTAACAGAGACCATGGAGTTCGATGTGGATGGTGGCGTCAGTTGGTGAAGCCATGGATGTGGCTGCGGCGATTGGTGAAGACGACAAATAGATTTGTTGGACCTCGCCGGCACAATGAAGACCCACCGGATGGTGACGTCGGAGACTATTGGACAGGGAAGAAAGGAGGGGAGATGACGGAATTCGAGAATCAATATAGTGACTTTAGAGACTTCGCTAGCAGGTGAAGGTGTAGAAATGCAGGTTAGTGGAAGAAGAAATTAAAAGTGGGGAGAAAGAAGGTAGAATGATGGGTTGGGTGGAAGAAGGTACGAAGAGGAGAGAGAATGAAAATAAAAATGTAAAAGAAAAGGGAAAATTTAGGTCACACTTTTAACCGGCTAACAGGACATTTACTGGTCAAATTACATAATTTAGATTTTTTAAAGTCATGAGTTTAATTGGATGTTATTTAAGTTGGAGGGTTTAGTCGACTTTTTCGACATACTACGAGAGTATTTGACAGTTTTCCGTATTCACAATCCTTAAAATTACTAAAACAACCTTAAGGGAACGGAATTAGTCTGCCCAATAGCACTAATTATTGGATTCATCCAGCTCATTCAAATAGAGGTGGATGTGTCAGGGTTCAATAGAAGCTCAAAAGTTGTACTGTAAAAAAAAGAAAAATTCTAAGGTTTTTTTTATGTCTGTACAGACTTTTAGTATTTTTAAAATACGTTATGTCTGTACAGACATAAAAAAAACCTTACACAGACATGTGTAAAAAGTGTGTACACCAAAAGTGTGTACCCCAAGTCCAACTCGTAAAAAAAACTCTTATATCGATCGTACTCCGTAGTCCTTACCGCAAAGAAATAAGGGGAAATGGAAACTAATAATCCAAACTTTTAGCGGTCTTCTTACAATAATCCCACTTTTTCATTATTCATGACTAATCCAACATTTACACCTCATCTTCATTTACTGGTCCCTGACCGATTTATGACCTGTTACTCCAAATTATTTTCTTATCTATGTAAAACACTATACCATAATTCCATAACGTTTTGCAAAGATAAGAAAATAACTTGGAATAATAGGTCATAAATCGGTCGGGACTAGTGAATGAAGATAAGGTGCAAAAGTTAGATTATTCATGAATCTTGAGAAAAGGTGGGATTATTGTAAGAAGACCGCTAAAAGGTTGGTTTATTTGTTTCGATTTTCCAAAGAACTAAAAGAAGTACCGAACAGAGTGAGCGCGGTGAAAGTATGAAACAGCAAGTATCATTCATATCCAATTATCTCAATAGCAACAGGCATACTTTGAGGTGTAATTTCTCAGTCATCTCAATGGCAACCAACCTAAATTGTGTATATATATACACCTGAAAAGACAACATCAAACGGCAAATTTCCAAGAGGTGCCACACAACATCCATTTTCAATTCTCGAACAATAGATGATAAATAAATTAAAAAACTATAAATATATAAATAATATACACTAGTAAAAGTTGCATGCATACAAGTCATAATCATAATAGTACATTATTATTATTATTTTAATAGTATATTATAATACAGTATAAAGATCATCATAAATACTATCACCTCTCCTGCTGCAATGTACTTCACTTCAGAGCTCCTTGGGAAAGGACCCCAAGTGGTGCCACAGAGCTCTATTGCTTTTTAAGAACCACAATGGTGATACCTTTTTAAAAGGGGCTGATCCATCGAGCTAACTTTAACAAAATCTCAGGAACAAGTCGTGTTCTTGGCGGAGCGCTAGCATCCCGATCTAAAGCTTCTTTGTCACCAGCGTGTATTAGGGCAACCACATAGTCAAAAAGATCATCTTTGCCACCTCTTAGTGGATCCTGTGTAATGAGACAAATTTCAAGTACTTATTAGATGTTTTAAACCAAGTACTTCAAGAATATATATACATAGAGCATGAGGTCATCCGTGCTGGAAGCAGGTATGAACATAACTAGAGGTTTTGGTATTCTTCAACAAAAATTGGAAAAAAGGAAAAATGGTGTTCTGATCATGTTTACTCTTATTTGAATTTTCCTTCTCAGACTTCCAAAACATGAGTAATAATTCATTAACAATTATTTTGGTGAACCAAAAAAGATCATTATATTAAATAACTTTAAAGAAGGGATAAAGTAAGAACTGTATGCAGAACTAAATATTTAAACTACTTTTAAAATTATTTCAAAATCCTCATGCAAACACATACGAGCTTATCTTTGTGGTTGAGAAGGGGGTCATAATGTCATACTACGTATTTGATTACTATTAGTAACTAAAAACCACCAATATCAAAACCATGTGAAAACTTTGCTCTAGAAAACAAGCAGATAAAAAACTGGTTTGAGTACATTGACAGTTGAAAGGGAAGACTACCTCTTTTATTTCTTTTAATATGATGATGAAGTAGTTTGAAAAGCCTGTTTTAATTTCTTTTCTCCTCCAACTATATTCAAATTGAAAATGAGAGTGGAAAAATGAAGAGTATTTGTCCATACTAAGCATGCAGTTAGTTTCCAAGCCCATAGATGCATCTGTTAAATGGGATGATTTAAATTACAGTACTTAAAAAGCAAGATGCATCTCCTATTAACTCAAATAGTATCTCCCTCAGTCCCACTTCGTAAGCTAAAAATATCACATTTCATAATTTTAATTCTATCTTTTCACATTTGGCCTTTTGACCTCGTACAACTTTTCTTCTTTTTTTTTGGGGGGGGGGGATCGTAAAATAACAACTATCCTCTTTGTTTTCTAAAAGCCCACTACAAATCCAAATGCATCTTAAATTATGACAGAGAGAGTATAATTTTTGTACCAATCAGGATAGATTTCAGAAATAGAGGGTCTTGAATCTACATAATCAATTTATAATATAGACATACTTGAAGAAACAAATCTGTATGGGTTTTCCCGTCATACAATATCAGTTCTGCTCGAGCCCCTACTCGCAAAAGAGTATTCAAAAATCTTTTACTGCACAGAGGGAACAAGACATTATTTTGATTTACAAAGTAACAACATTCATAAACAACAATACTTAGAAATCAAGCTTCCAACAAAACAAAAGTTGTCGATAATGCTGTTCAAATGCATATATAATCAACTGGTTGAATTTTGTTCACAGGTAAGTGACCATTTAGCAATCCAACAAAGTAAAACATAGTAAAAATGACAAAGTTGCCCCTCACTGTTTTTTATTTGTTACTTTTAATATCTACACATCAATAGGGGATTGTCAATTTATGGGAAAACTAAGGGTAAAATAAATAAAATACCCTAAACTTTGCGTATGTGTGATATCCCTACCCCAAACTTGTCCACATAGTATAAATATCTCCTCATTCATTTCATTTTCATTTACCCCAGTGCCGCAAAGGCTCCCACCTACGGTGGGGTAAGGGGGGTTCGGATGTACGCAGTCTTACCCCTGTACTAAAGCACAGAGAGACTGTTTCTGGATGACCCATAGTGAAAATCGCGTCCAAAATTGCATGGACTGACTGACTGCTGGTCCATAACAAAGAAGCACAGACAATTTAGTGAGTCATTTTGCTTTATTCCATCATAATCTCAAGCCAAAAAATAATGAATCTTTGGCTCCATTGCAAATGATGGAAAAGTATAAATATCTCCTACTTTGTAAAATTGAGACATTTATGCCCCATGTCATACCGAACCATCTAAGAAAGCACACATTTTTTTGGGAATCACGCATCTTTCTTTGCCAACTAAGGTTGTTTTTACTTGGACTGTAATTTGTCCCAGACCAGACCAAAACAAACCAGACTAAAACAGACCACACCAGACCATATTTTATTATTATTATTATTATTATTATTATTATTATTACTATTATTATTGTTATTACTATTATTACTATTATTATTACTATTATTATTACTACTACTATTATTAGTAGTAGTAGTGATGGTGGTGTTATTGTTGTTATTATTAATACATTTACTATTTATTATTGTTTGGTTTAGTCTGTTCGTATTTTAAGTCATACAAGTGACATAATAATATAGATGATCTTGATTTGTAAAAAACAAAGAAATAAAAATAAATAAATAAAATCGTGATTTGTAAAAAAATTGTATGAATAATGGGTAAAATATAAATCATTTTAGAACAAAAAAAATACTATAAAATAATAAATATCATCATGCATCCGTTGCTCTGGGTTTCTGAACGTCTTCCCAAATTTGTTTCGCAATTTCCACACGAACATTGTTCATAGCTTCTTTTCGCCCATTGTTGAACATATCTGAATCAACCATGCCTTCTCCATTCCCTTCATGTTCATAAATTGGCATTCCCATTTTGCACATGCTGATAAAATTATGAAGTGTAAAAGTAGAGAAAATAATTGCTTGTTGATGCTCTTCTTTCATTTTGGACATATTGTGAAGTATCTTCCACCTTTTCTTCAGGTGCGAAAATGCTCTTTCAATGGTAGTTCTCAGTGTAGTCTGATATGGTCTGATCTAGTTTGAGTTGTTCTGTATTTATATGATCTGGTCTGATCTGCTTCGATCTAGTCTGATCTGCTTCAATCCAAATAAAACGATAACAATTTTCGATAATTTGGAAGGAATATTATTATTTTTAATTATAAATGAATAAAATATAATTATTTATGGATTATAATATATATAAAATAAAATCTTTATGCAAAAAGTATAAAAAATAAATTTTCAGACCAAACCAGACCAGACCAGCAAATTACAGTCCAAGTAAAAACATATTAAACATCCTAAATCTAATTAACATGTTTTAATTTGAGAAATATTATTTGTTAATGAAAATATGGTACAACAAAATTAAATAAATAAAGTTGGGGGTATTTTTTAAACTAGGACTAGTTACTGCCTCAAAACCCACAATGTTTCCTCAATGGACAGTAATTTGAGAATAGAGGGAGGAATATGTTGTAAGAAAAATAGGACAATGGTGCTGCTCAAGTTAGATGTATACACACCTTTCTTGACAAGGTATGGACTTATCTTCAGTACCATGGAAAAGGATAATGTGAGGCAGCAATGACACTGCAGCCTTATAGCTTGAATCCTGCACCAAAGCTTCTGGGGAGAAGCTTTGCAATGACTCTTCACCTTCCATGACACTGTAATAGTATTAACCATGTCAAATTCTTCAGTTGTAGCACAATGCAAAAAAACTGAGATTCCAAAGTATAAACTAAGGGAACATTTGGTATGAGTTATTTTGCTGAAGGGAAAAGCATACAGTTAATCGATTGCAGCCAATAAAGAAAATCAAATACTACTCATGCTTATTCTGTTTACTTTGATTAAACTGCTTCTAACAGTATCACAATAAAGCTAAGCCGCTTTCAAATTCAACATTTTGCTGTAGAATAATAATTACTGACCTCAAAAATATAGAACGATATAACCCTCTACCATGGAAGTGATCAACTAAGTTGGGTAGACTATACCTGTCCACATAAAAACAGTGTTTCATTAGGTTAACTAGTGTCGCTAGAAAATCATTCTGTTTAATGACATAATTGAAAGTATCTATCTAGTCTAATATATTTTTGCCCCAAATGGGAGCGCAAGCAAGGCATGTGCAGATATACTAGAAAAATAATGGATATGAAACTTGCCCCCCAGATGAGCCGAAATAAGCCTTAATGAGCAAAACGCTCCAAGAAACCATATCCCCTCTTGCTTCTTTAATTGCCTGCTTCACAAGAACACATGAAGAAATATGTGCACCAGCAGATTGACCCATGAGATAAATCCTGCACAAAGAAGCGGGTTATGGCCTGTTCAAACTTTTACACCATTTGAATATATAGAAATTGCTCTAAATAGGAGCAAAAACGTTTTGAAATTCTAAAATAGGAGTATCATGTTTTTTATTCCCTGAATAGGAGTAATCTGCCAAGTTTGAAAAAAAATGCCATGTTTTAAAGCCTAGTAATGCCAAACTTGGCAGAAATTTACTCATATTCAAGGAATAAAAAACATGATACTCCTATTTTGGAATTTCAAAACGTTTTTGCTCCTATTTAGGGAATTCTCTCTTGAATATATTGAAAAAACATCACCACAATTTTAATGATCATTTAATGCTTCTTCACCATACAGATGTGTGTACCATTCCCCAAGATTTTGCATCACGAGATTAAAATTACCTGTTTGGATCACCTCCATATTCAGCAATATTGTTACATATGAATGAGATCCCCTCAGAAACATCTTCCACCATATCACCTATTGTCCCCTGTGGAAAGTTTCTAAATCCAATACACACATCAGTCAGGGGCAGATTCAGTGGGGGGCAATCTGGGACCCGGTCCATCCCAAGTTTGGTCAAATAAAAATGCAGTTCAAACTTTTGCTACAAAAAATCACATGAACACGTTCATATTTGGCATTTTGGCCCAACTCAAGTCCGAATTTTGGGGAGTCCTGGTTCCATCCTTGCACCAGATGAGCAAGGATGTAATTAGGGTATAGAGAGAGAAAAGTACCTTTATATAATTTCTTTTAACCCAACAACAGATATGAGGAATAAGCTAAACCGAAGTGGTAACAAAATAAAATTCATCTTTGATGTATTAAATGAGAAAATGCATCACAGGATAAGAATTGCGAAATAATCTGAGCATTTGCATCTGGGTAAATATATACATAAATATGGACGGCAGTTTCCTGAATTGCGCATAACGTTACCTGTAATCAAGACACGCTACTATGATTTCACGTTCAGATAACTGTTTCCCCAAGAGAGAACCCCATGCTTTGTACCTACACAATAATTAAAGATCGGATTGATCTTTACATATTTAATATTTTTATACATAAAAGCCTCTCTTTACCTCATACACGAACTGATAAAGTGGGTTTGCAAAAATATAATTTGACTTCATATTACATCTAAGTTGTAAATGTTCTCTCAGATATTAAAGGCCTAATGAATTGGATTCAAACATTCTTACCCAATAATCCATGCCCCACCAGTGACAAATACTGCAACCGGCTTTGAACCATTTCTATCCATTGGTAAATATAAGTCCAATCTGCACACCCAGATTTAGTAAAGATGGGCACAAGAATATGGATATAATACAAAAAAGATTTACAACCTCTTACCTATTTCTTGGTTGACTCCCATAAACCACACTTCTTCGTACATTCGGTGAGAAGAAATAATAAAACGCAACTGCCAAAAGCTAAAACATTAATTAATTGATATAACATCTTGTATATTTATTATTTGAAAATGAAGACTAATTGATAATAAACATAGTACGGAGTAATAAAAAAATAACAGTATACATACTTTGGAGAAATCCAGGCATAAGCAGCATAGCGTATATACCAAGAGCAAGAAGTCGTGTAATCCAACGATAGCCTACCCTGAGAAAGGGAAGTGATTAAATTTATCATGAAACTGAAGTGGCTCACCAGGTGCCAAGGGATAACCATTGAAAATATGCAATACGACAAATCGTACACCAATAGCAATTTTAGAATATTCTACTACTTCTTATATTTATAATTGGCTAATGCTAGTAATTTAGCTTGCGCAGTAGAGACTAGAGAGCCATACTACTATCCTCGTAAACATTGAAATGAAGCAACATGGACCTCCTTTACTTCAAATTTTCATATATGATATATCCTTAATGATTTTCAATTTGATCGAAAAAACATAAGCAATTCAGAATCATTCAATTTAATTCATTTTAAATCTAGCCGGCTATGAGTTTTTCCAATAGCCAGATTCTGAATCGCTATGTATCATTGTCACCCATACACAGATAGTGCTTGAGGGTACTGCACCAAACAAAACTGTTTTTATTAACACAGAAATAGAATTCTTCAAGAACATCCACACTGATTACGGAGTAAACACAAATATTCAAACAAATTGAACTTCAAGCGTTAAGAGAACAAAATAAAATTTACCCGAGATAGCTAAGAAGCTTGAAGGAAAGACGAGTGATCAAATAGGTCTCGGCGGCGGCATGGCCAAAGTCGCGGCTAAAGGAAGATTGGCGGGCGGGGCGACATGGGGCAGACACCGTCTTGGCAAGAGGTTTCCGCCTCCTCTGTTTGTTAGTTGAAAGGCCGACGGGAAGACTCGAAACCCTCGACATCAATGGGTCACGCGTATCCTCTTTGAGGTCATTGGCAAGAGACTCCAAACTCGCCGGTTCTAGGCGGGGAACCTTTTGCATCTCCGGCAAATTGAATGCCGAAATTCAGATGTGAAATAACCTTCGAAGAATCAGATTCCGGCGACTTACATGGATGTGCAGACAGGTCGGTTGATGATTGAGATGCTGTTCTATGATGGAAGGATCAGTGGATGTCAGTGGGTACAGAGGTGCTCTGTTTTCAACATTTTCTGCACTCAGCACGGATGTGATATATATCACAGAATTTGCACGGATGTGATATATATATATATCGGTGGAGGTCTATATGCTTCATCCCATCTGAATGTATTAAGGGAGACGGCCCAGTAACTAATTTAGCCTAAAAAAAAATCGGTGGAATTTTTGTAATTTATGCGAAAACAAACGGCTTCCACTAAATGAGTAATAATGTACTTTTAATGAGCATCTAACCTATTTTATTGAGTATTTAGAGGTTAACAATGAGTGTCATGATTTTTGCTTCATATCTTCTAATTCAATTTTTTTCATTATTTTTTCTTTTATAAAAACTAATTGAATTATATCTATAATACACTCCTATGAATTTCCATATGCGAATTTAATGCAATATGATACTTTTAAAATATGCATTGATATAACATTTTAAAATGAGCATAACATCAGTACCAAATGAGTATACATAACTTACGAAATGAGCATAACATCAGTACCAAATGAGTATACATAACTTACGAAATGAGCATAACATCAGTACCAAATCAGTACCAAATATGCATTGATATAACATTTTAAAATGAGCATACCATTACTACCAAATGAGCATACATAACTTACGAAATGAGTATCAAAAAATTTAAAAACGCATTTTTGTGTGCTCATTCAATTTGGACGTTATACTCATTTGAATTTGACATAAAACTCATTTCTATTGTGCGCAGCAATTTACTATTCACAATTTTGATTTTTTGGTCTTTAATCCAAAATTTGACGGTTGTTGTTGGAATCAAAGAGTGTTGTGGGGGTTGCCACCTCTAGGCACACCTCCCCAACCCTTTTCTGGTGGCCGGAGGTGCTGTTTGGCCGGAGTTAGCAAAGAGTCGTTGTGCGCATCACTGTTCAGAGCAGTCTGGTTTTTTGTTCGTAGCTCCCAAACGACACGTTTAAATCAAATTCTGAGAGTTGTCTAGACTCATCTTGCTCAAATCCAATTTGAGTAAGTTGTCCGTTTTCCCCAATTTGAAGTGATACTCCTTCGAGCGGAGAACAGGGCACGCTAGCGGACTCCGACTTCATGAAAGAAGCAACGGAAGCCAGAATCATCGGACAAAGAAGTTGATAATAATTTCAAAAATACCCGGATGTACGGTGAGGACCGTATATCCGGGTGTACGGTATAATTTGCGTGTGCCACTCATATCTGCTATGCCCACCGATGTTTTGGCCTTCCCAAATAAACTAAATTAGGGAATATGTGTCTTTCAAAAAAAGTTAGGAAATACTCCCTTCGTATCTATTCTATTTATATATAACAAATTATATATTACTTCCGTCCCACTCAACTTTGCCAAGTTGATGTTACGTGGGAAATTAGAATAGTAAAATTTGTGTGGCTGAGGTTTGTGCAGAGGAGAGAGAAATGAACAGAGTCACAAAAAACATTGTTTTAAAAGGAAATTGACAAAGTTTTTTGAAACAAACAAAAAAAGGAAAGTTTACAAAGTCCAGTGGGACGGAGGGAGTATAAGAAAACAAATAGTTCATCAAAATACTATTTTGTCCTTCAAATTCACACATGGCTATCTCTCCTTATTTCACTCCATTTCTATAATCTTGACATGTGGCAACCTATGCTTCTTCTTTTCTAAAAAACTAGTATAGTACCCGTGCATGCGCACGGGAAATATTAGTTGGTGCATATATTTTTACTCATAATCTAATTAAATATTAAAATAAAAAAAATCAGGATTCTACATTTTAGAGAGAGAAAAAGAGTACAATAAGTTAATATCATAAAGTATAAGCCATACAATAAATATTTAATGATGAGTATATTAGGAAAAATTAATTGAAACCACTCATTAGAAATTATTATCTATTAATTTTCATGATTAAATTAATTTCAAGTAAATGATATAAAGTTCAAGTAAATATGTACAAGAAATATTAATATTAACGAATATTAGTTAAATAAGAACATGCTAATCATTAGTTAAAATAGTGCTAACATATGAGAGAGAACTACATATAAGAAAGAAAATTATTCCGCTCAATTGTTAGGAAAATTATTTTCTAATACCTAAAAGCACTATATATGAGACCGAAAATTATTCCACTCAATTCCTTGCTCATCAATTGTTAGCAAACTTATCTTTTATAATACATAAAAGCCCTACACATGATAGAGAAATTTCTCCCGCTCAATTATTAGCAAGCTTATATTGTTATACCTTAAACCACTTCATATGAGAGAGAAAATTCTTTGGCTCAATTGTTAGCCGGCTCATCTTATCTTACACCTAAAAGCACTACATATAAGAGAGAAAATTATCGCGCTCCATTGTTAAAAAATCTATTTTCTAATACCTAAAATTAAAACACTACATATGAGAGAGAAAAATATTCTGCTCAGTTCCTCTGCTTTATTGTTAGCAATCTTATCTTCTAATATCTAAAAATACTACATATGATAAGAGAAATTTTTCCCGCTCAATTATTTGCAAGTTTATATTCTTATACATAAAATCACTACATATGCGAGGGAAAATTCTCTCGCTCAATTGTTAGCCGGTTTATCTTATCTTAGACCTAAAAGCACTACATATGAAAGAAAAAATTACACCGTTGAATTGTTAGCAAGTTTAACTTCTATATAATAATAATACCTAAAAGCACTACATATGAGAGAGAAAATTATCCCCGCTCAATTCGTCTGCTTATTTGTTAGCAAGTCTGTCTTCTAATACCTAAAAACACTACATATGTCTGGGAAATTTCTCCCAATCAATTATTAGCAAGCTTATCTTCTTATTCCTAATACCATTACATATGAGAGAGAAAATTCTCTCGCGCAATTGTTAGTCGGTTTATCTTATACAGTTAAACCTAAAAGCACTACATATAAGATCATAGAGAAAACTTTTCCGCTCAACTTGTAGCCAACGTATTTTATACTTAAAAGAACTACACGTAGAGAGAAAGTTTTTCCGCTCAATTTTTAGCAAGCTTGTCTCCTAAAACCTAAAATCAAAACATATGAGAGAGAAAAGTATCCCGCTCAATTGTTAGCAAATTTATATTCTAATATCTAAAAGCGCTACGTATGAGATATAAAATTATCCCGCTCAATTTCCTGCTCAATTGTTAGCAAGCTTATCTTCTAATACCTAAAAACACTACATACGATAGAGAAATTTCTCCCGTTCAATTATTAGCAAGTTTATGATCTTATACCTAAAACCTCCACATGGGAGATATCTTCCAACATTAGCACTATTTCAACATTGGTATTATCTTAACGTGACGACAAATCAGACCAGACAGAAATAATAGTAGAATTGACATATTTATCCAGCTAACAAAATACTTAGAGTATGCTTCTAGTTATATATACCACATCTTCATGTGAAGTAATTAATCTGTGTTCTAGCCTTTCTAGTGCACATGGAGCAAGCTTCATAGCTCCATTCCCTTTTTCCAACTATAAACTTTGAACCTCTCTCAATTGTGAATTTTTAATATATTTTATAGAAATTAGATCAAGAATGAAAAAACTATAACACTTTGAAATAAATGAAGGTTTTTATACCTTGAGCCCCACCAATTGTATGTCTCTTTATTATATTTTACTGTTCATGCTTGCATAACTCATTGAGCAACTTCATCACACCACGTGACATTTTAAAACCATTGATTTATTTTACACTGACAATACTATCATATATTGAGCATCTTTTTCATTTACAATGTTATTTAGAGTATGTTTGGTAACAAATAAATTGGGGGAATCTACTAAACTTGATGAAGTTCTTGTTGAAACCGTGAACTTATTGAATCTACTGATATATGGAAAAACAAAATTTAAAATATACTTTATTTATAAAGTAAGGAAACATTTATTAGAAAAATTAGCTAAAATTTTCATTTATAGTAACTTCATTCAATCCAAGAAGAAAAGTATATGCTATATGGATGTCATATGAAAGGTCATAAAAAATTGTGAATTTTGATATTCTTTTCATAAAAATTAAATAAACGATTAAAAAGTTATAACACTTTAAAGAAAATGATGTGTTTTATACATTGAGGCCCACATATTTAATGTCATGTTTTTTTGAGAGTATATAGCAACCTTACTTTGGTGTTGATATTGCCATATTGTCCTTGAAATTGCCACATGTCATTTGTGTGATGAAGGAGTAAATTGTGGAGAGAATGACACCTAGATTATTTTGAGGATAAAATTTTCTTTTAAGGAGCTATGTGTTTTATTATATACTAGTATAGTACCCGTGCATACGCACGGGAAAGAGTAGTTCGTGCATATATTTTTACTCATTATCTAATTAAATGTTAAAACAAAAATAACGTTGTAGAATTCTACATTTAAAAAAAATAAGAGTACAATAAGCTAATACCATAAGTCTTGTGGTATTAGGTATGGGCTCATACAATAAAGAGTTAAATATTCAATGAATAGTATATCAGAAAAATTTATTATTAGTACCACTCATTAGAATATGCTACTTATTAATTCTCACGATTAAATTATTTTAAAATTCAATACTATTCTAAAAAAGTGAATACAATAAATATTAAAATTAACGAATACTACGTATTAGTTAAATAAGAACTTGTTACTCATTAGTTAAACTAGTGCTAGCATATGAGAGAGAAAATTATCTTGTTCAATTCTTAGTCGACGTATCTTATATAAAAACGAACCATATATGAGAGGAAATTATTTCACCCGGTTGTTACCCAGATTAACTTTTACCTAAAAGCACTATGTATGAGAAAAAAATTATACTACTCAATTGTTAGCCGACTTATCTTTTTTTAAAAGATGTACACAAGTTTTTTTTTTCATTTTTCTAAATTCAGTTTGATTTGACTACTAATTCTAGTTGGTAGTCTAATATAGTGCTTCTTTCATGTAAATTCGCTTAGTAAAGCAAATAACAAAAATGCAAAAAAAAGAAAAAGAAGTAAATAGACCAACTCTAATTTTTATTTTATTAGAACTAATTAGATTTTCATTTGCTAATTTTTTATATAGCAAACCAGTGCACTTCAAATCATAAAATAATTTAAG